CATATTATTTTTCCTTTTTTTATTGTGCCTTTGGTGGCATGTGTTACAAGATCTTGTGAAAGAAACACCCTTGTTATTACATACTTTTGGGTTTGTTTGTAGAGGCTGTATTGCATTTAAGGCCAAATTGTATTAAAAGGAAAAGCATATATTTTCTTTTTAACATTAAAAGTCTGAATTACAGATTTATTATAATATTAATGTGTCAATAAATTAACGTCATATATTAGATATTAATTTAATATTATATACAAATCTCTCGTGCCCCCCCGTCTCCCCCTCCCTTAACTCCGGCAAAAATACCGGCGAAATCCCTCTTCCCCTTTCTCTTGCCAAATCCTCCATGTATTTTCTCCGGAGACACACCCTTCCTATTTCTCTCGTGTCTCAGGTCATGGAGCCCGATCATCATCCGACCAAGTGGGGGTTTCGTCCCTATAACGACAAAGATCCAGCGGTGAAGTCTCTGAACCCAATTCAAAAACCTAAGGTCGTGATCCAGATTCAAGTCTGGGTGTGGTGGTTCGACCTGATCTGATTTCGACCAGCGTGGTGGTGGTTCGACCAACTCGAAGAGATTCATGTAATCTTCTTTTGATTCATTTTTTATCATTTATGTTATGATTTTAGGGTTCTTTTGGTTCACTTGATTTTAGGTTCTGATTTTATGCTTCTTTTGATCTTAGGTTCTGATTTAGGGTTTTGTCGTTTGTATTTAGATTTAGGTAAGTTCTTAGGTTTTAATGTTTGATTAAAGTATTAATCTAAAGTTTTGATGTTTTTTTTTATGAATCTGATTTAGCTTTTGGGTTTAAATGTTTACCTTCTTCCCCATTACCTTCATCAATCACCTCCTCAGCCCTGTACTCCTCTGTATTTTCTGGACCAATCAACATGTACGGCTTGTTGTATCTACACTTGTGTCAATTGTTTCTTTGGCAAGGTCATCATTATAGCGGGTGGATTTTGGTGGCTCCAAACCCCACAGAGCATAGTAATCCCCCTCTTGAATTCTTGCTAATTTCATAGCTTGATCAGAGATTTTGGATCCAGTAGTTGAACTGTATGCATTATCTCATTTTGGAGGCCCCCAATGTATAAATCTAATAACACCTCAGAAGGAACAACTACTTGGTTCCTTAGAGCATTAAACCGTGAGTTATAATCACTTACAGTGGTGGCGAGATTTAGATTTCTGAGTTCTATGAGAGGCTTTGAGACAATACYTGCAACAAATTGCTCTCTCARTTCATCCAGGTAACTTTTCCAACTAACAGATTTGCCTTCCATTTCCTTCATGAACCCTTGGTACCACTGCAATGCTCTCCCCTTCAGATGTATTGCCACCAACCAGATCTTCATCTTTTCAGGAGTATTAGCCAGTTTCTTAAACTGATTGCATTTGTAGTGCCAATCCTAGAAATCATCTCCCTCGGATGATGGAAACTCCAATTTGGTCATTCTATTTACCAACTTACCTGTCCTTCCTGCTGACCTCCTTGAGTTCCTCCAGAATTGAACACATACTACACTAACTGATTTGAAGGAACCAATAGTAACACTACAGGTGGCAACTGGTGGTCCCCACTTACGTAAAATATAAACATTTTATTGAAATAGCTAATATTAGGTAAATTAGGTCATATCAGAATGTTTGATGGTGCTTTTAGGGCTTCTCTGGGCATTTGCAGAGGGGCCGGATAATGCATCTGAGAACTTAATACCCGTTGTTATGTTGCGACTAGATCAAGACCACTTAAAGTTCTTGGTTTTCTTTAGACATTGTTATGTTGCGACTAGATCAAGACCACTTAAAGTTCTT